AGTACCTAAGGTCCTGAAAGAGTGCTGGAATTTTAAAGGGAGGGCAGACAGGAGTAACCGAGAGCAGATTTGAAGTAGGTCAGACAGATCAAGTGAGGAGTACCCGAGACTTTGTTCCTATCTGATACTAGGGTAATGAGTCAGTTTCTGAAAGAGTGGCGATAAGTATGGGTTGGTAACGAACGGGTGTATTTGGTGAACTTAAAATCCTAGAGAGAATACCGAAGGCTTAGAGAGTGCTGAAAGCTCAGAGAGTGGAGGCCCAGTGCATGCACTAGAGTCTGATAGAGAGCACCCAAGACCAAACAAAAAGCACTGGAAAGCCACGAAGAGTGGAGCCCGCGAGTGACAACAAAAGGTCCAGTAAGAGCACTGGAGATCTATAAAAAGTGCCGGAGCCCAAGAGAACTCACTGGAGCCCAAGAGAGAGCTTGAGTATCAAAGGTCAGGTGAATGTACTGGAGACCCAGAAAGAAAAAAGGCCAAGACAAAGGGGAGGCCCAAGGCAAGCAGTGAGCAAAGCGAGAGTGCAAACTCAGAGGAAGTAGTGAGTTTAGGGAGGACAAAGATAAAGCGAGAGAGAGCTGGAGTAGGAGTACAAGCCGAAGGAGAAGGTTGGTTGGATAGAGGCTAAGGGTAAAAGAGAGTTACAGATTACTACTGACAGTTGTAAAAAAAAAAAAAAACCTATTAATTGTCTTGGCTATCTAATGTGCTTAATATTAGTTAACAAAAGGGTGATACGAGAGGGGGAATATATAAAAGTGGGTAGCATCAAAGACCTTTACCGTATTTATAAAAATGTATATTAGGAAATAACCTAGGTGGTTCAATCTAATTTTATTTATACTTGTACCACCAACACTGGCATACAATAAGTCCCTGCTAGTACAGAGTTAGCACTAACTGGACTACTACTATCTATGAACCAACTAAACCTTGGGCCCTATCTCTCAAATACCACCGGATTATTCCCACACAGCAGCTAAGTACAAAACCATGAACTGTACAGAAAATCCTACCTGTTGCACATCCATAGATCTTCTGTTAATGAACCAATCACAGGTCTAGTAGCAAGTCTGCAATATTTACCGGATGCTCCTCTAAAGTGAAGCCTTACCACTCGGTCATCACGCAAGACCCAGGACAAAGTTCAAAGCCAAAAGGGTAACTAATATCAATAGGTTCCTCAAACCAAAGCAAACAAACACTACTATCATCTGAATATAATCTTGTAACTCCTTCTCCACAGTAGAAACCCTCCCTGACATTTTCACTTAATTATCTTGCTAATACTCTAACCACTACACTCCTACTGTAGTTATACTATCAGTAGATGCAAACTAAATAGAGATGAAGAAAGCAAATAAGAAAGTAAGGTAGGAGAGGTAGATCCAATCATGGTGATAAAACTAGCAAAATTGTGTTCATGTCTTCCTATATGGTCTTAATAATAAAAGGTACCCTATTACTGAGACTCTGGTGTAGTTCCATGTTGTATAAAAGATAGCATCACTTAGTGGAATGGATCCCACCATCTTGACCGACAATGAACGGAGTAGTAAAATCAACCATAGCCTATTGAGGAACTGACAAACTTCTCTAGTAAGAGGAGAAAAATGATAGAACTATCATAGTTGCATACGGCAAACTTTATGCCCAGCTGTCTGAAGTGTCTTAAAGGAACGTAAGTAGCCAAACTAACTGACTGACTGACTGATCGACCAACTGCAACCAGTAAGCAAGTCTCACAAAGGTGTAATAACCACCATAGCGATGTTAATCATGAATAACAAGATCATTGAAATAGATTAAAAAGACTACAGCTAATCTATTATCAAAAGAAGATAGAAAGCCTAGCATAGTCAAGTGGAGGATGATGAAAAGCTGCTACCAATCTAAGAAAACTCAAAGGTAATGGAACACTATTGTGAAAGAAAGCCCATGTCTAAGATGAGGTGAAGGCATATGAGGAAGAAAGAGGTAGGTGTTTTCATGAAGATCTATCTTACTGGCCAAACCTATCATCTTATATGGATCTTCCTACAACCCACTTATAAATCCAACTATCATATGGATTGTAACTTTACTCTATATGACTACATAATTTTTTGTCCTCATAAACTCTTCCTAGTTAATATGTATAGCCTCCATAACTCCTAAACAGGTCATGTATGTGAAACCAAGTAAGCCTTACAAGGCTTACTCCTATTAAACTATCGATCCCAATATAACATAACAATCATGACTTAAAATCTAGGTCATGTGCAAAACCCACATAATCCCAAAACAGGTCATATGTATAAATAGTAATCATTATATCATACAGCTCAAAATGAGTCGTTAATCAAAACCATAACATATGAAATTCTTTACAAACTACACCAGGTTTGTAACACCTTCCTAGACCGTCTCCATCTATATTACAAATTCTGGCCTAAATCTTCTCAATGTACACATGAGTTAACTTCGGCCTAACAGTTCCAAAATAGGAACATTATAGAGAGCTAAATAAAACACTAATAGAATCATCAAAATCTTTATCAGAAAGTCTGTAAACTGAAATTTACCCAATAGTATATAGGCTGTAAGTAGAAACATCAGATAATTTCAAAAATTTATCTAAAGTAAGTTGCAGAGTTAGGAAAATCATAATTAAAACTTAAACAGGACAAAATAAAAATAAATAAAAAGTTAGAAACTAAGAACAAACCAGCAGTAGAGTAATGAGGTAAAGACTATGGTACAGTTGATAGTATCATACAGAGGAGGAGGAAGAACGTGGGAAGTAAAATATCTTTTTCAAAACCCCACATTTCAGCATTTGGTCCAGGCCCCCATTCATTCAGGGCTTATTTTCCTAGTTTCCTAACTCTCAAACTTTTGGGAGTTCAAAAGTTTAGTGGTACAAACTGAACTCTTACCTTGCCTCACCCGTTTCCCTCGCAGACATGAGACTGCCCATTCTGCCAAAGCAATTGGAGTCAAGACAAGATAGTAGAGCCATATCCAGGGTAAATAGCAAAGTTACATTGTATTACAAAATTAGTCTCAGCCATGAAATTATGGAACCCCAAAGTTATGCCAATGCACTAGGTCACGTTGCATTGTCTGGTGGTACAGTCATGTTTGAAAGGTCTATGTACCCCTCATGGCAATGGCACTACCACTACAAATAACAATATTGACCACAACAAAACATAAATATAAGTACAATTTTACAATAGATAATAGTAGAAATAGAAAAAAAACAGTTTCCTAATGCTACCATTTTGTATGGCTTCCATCTGTATCTAATACAGCCTGAAGTCTCTCAGGCATCCTCTGAATCCATCCATCAAATATTCCCTGGGGAATTAGGTCTCACTTTTTCTTTGCTGCCTGAAATAATTCAGCAGTACTATGGAGCCTTCTTTCAACCTTGGATAATTGCTTTCTGAGTGCTCTTTTGAGAATTGTACAGGCATTCTCAATAGGATTGAGATCTGGTGAGTTGAGAGGTCAAGCCAATCTTTGATATCCACAGTCCTCCTGCAATTTTTTGTTTTCTGCTCTATTATACCCTGATGCATTATCAACAACTATATAGATAGTTTGAGGAGCTCTGTCTATGGCTTCTATAAAGGAGATAAGTTATAGCTGGTGGATCTCAGTTGCATATTGGTAGGAATTGAGACCAAGTTTGTCTCTTTTGCTAGTCTTTTCCTCCTCAGTTCTCTCCCTTACAAGAATGAGCTCAGTCCTTCCTCCATACATCATTGCACCATATACACCTATGTTGGTACACCCTAACTTAAACCTAAGCTTTAAGTTCTTTTCTTCTAACTCTTCACCTAGTCTAAGTCTAACTTTTCTTCTCACTAGATTTGGATCATATTCAATTGTCGCTTCATCCACAAAAACAACCCATTTCCAAGCTCTTGTCCAGTTCTTCCTCACTCTAGCAACCTCCTTTCTCTTCTCCTTCTGCCCTTTTCTCCAAAAAGGCTTTTTCCTAGGTATCCTGAGCTTAAATTTAGCTTCTTTGAATATCTTGCTAACAGTATCTTTGCCAAGTCCAATATTGGCTTTTTGAGTAATGTCTCTTAGGGCTAAATAAGGCTCAGCATCAATAATATCAAGAATTACTTACCTTTTGGCATCAGTAATCTTGGTTGGTCTGCCAGATCTGGGGGCATCATAGGTGTTTCCATCTCTGGATTTCGCATTTTTGACTACTATTGAAACAGTTGACTTGGAGAGGTTCATAAGCTTTGAAATTTTACCATACCCCATATCAGTATGTTTATAGAGGGCATAGATTTCCCTTTTCTGGTCTTCTCTGAGGGTTTGAGAGTGTGGTGGTGCCATGGTAGGGGGTGATGTTGAGATGATTGTTGGTTGCGGTGTTGCCAAGCAGGGGTACGCAGACTTTTCAGACACGTCTGTACTGTGCATAGTACTTTTGTTAGAGAGCCCGCGAGAACCGAGGCTGCAAACGTCCCCGTGTTCCCGCGCTCATGCTCCCCCCCCACAGGCGTGTGGCTCGCGTGTAGACTCTTGGGACTTGATAGACATATCATGTGACTTCGTTCTGCCCTAGCAAGATGACCAGGTGTCTGACGCGTGAACCCGGACAATATTCGTTAACCAATATCGGAACAACAAGCGAAAACGTTCGTTCCGGTATCGTATCGCTTGCACTTCCTGCAGTCGGTACCGCATGGAGCAAGCTCAACGCTCCTAATCGACTATACTTGTACCCACCTCACGTAATATCATAGCAACGGTCACTTAAGTTTCATGTCCAATTTTCACCGGTTAATCATACTTGTTCTGCTAGCATGAGTACCAAGTTCAAACAAAAACCCACTAGACTATCAAAGTCAAGCTACCATATCAAAATAGGAAATAATGAGTGAAAGGAATCTCAAAACGCTCTTCTACTTCAGAGGAAGGCAAAAACAGTTAGACCATAAAGTTTCAAATCTGAGAAAATTTAAAGCGAAAACGAAATATATCAAACATCACAGAAAATGTTACAAAACTACCGGTAGCATGTTTCCCATTCCCACTCCCCACTTGACAACAATCCCGACGAATTTTCTTTTCAATTCCGTCCCAAACCCCAGATCAATCCCAATCCAAGTCGAGAAAGAAGCGGGTTCCAGCTTGCCCATTCCCATAGTTCCCGAATACATGTTTCCACTCCAAACACCCCAAATCTCTTTATCCTTCCTCTATCCACCCCCATCAGATCTCCCCCCCCCCCTCCCCGCTACTCCAGAAATAGTTTAAGCGAGGCCGCATCAGAAACCCCCCAATGTCTTGCACTGCTCGCATACGCAAAGCGCACAGGTAGTACACTTCCAAACATACAAATCTTCGACTTTTTTGCAGACATCGCAGAGAATGGCACCCCCCTGGGCCTTCCTAAAGGTAGCGTGTGCGCAGCCGGACATGGTAAATGAATGTATTGAGGAGAAGGAGAACAAAATGGTTCAGGGAAAGAATTTTGGAGACGGAAGAGGATACAGGAGGGTTCGGGAACGAATTGATTGTGTTTTGGGGGTATCCGGAGTGGTATCAATTCGCGGTAGTGGTATGATATCAAGCTTGAAGAAGCTCCGGAAATTTTTGGTGTTTCTCAATCGCAAAGCGCGACGTTTTAACTGCTTGCGAACGTTCGAATTGACTCTGAAGCTCTGATGCCGATGTTGAATTCTCTGGAAGGCACCGTCTTTTATAGACTTTCCCTCACTCGTTCTAGCTAACGCCATGCCACTAGTGTAGCCCCCGCTCCTTGCAGCTGACTTGGAGCATCGATGATCAATACGAGTACTACCTCCGTCTCTCCCTTCCTCCCCTCTTTGGTTCTTTTCCCTGCAAGTCTCATCATGTTAATATCAAACTGTGACGAAGGAAAGGAAAAGCAAAAGTAAAGGAATGGCTGATTACATATTATACCCACCAGCTTTCCAATCTCTCTCTATCCATCTTTATATTGCAATGCCACCGGTGGTGAAAGCAAGGGACTAGAAATGTAAAAGCACATATTCAACTGCCGAGATTTGTTCATTTTTTACCGAGAATAGTTTCTAATCAAGTGGAGGGTATATCGGACTTCCTCTCGTTGTATCAGAAGGAAAGTTCGTTTTTCGAAGAACAATCTTGAAGATACAGCGAGGGGCATTGTGAGGTGGGAATTGTTAGATACCGCAAGAAGTAAATGATTGAGTGGGGGGTTTCCTTCTCGCATCATCTCCACCTAGCTGTTTTACACATATTCTATTCCTCCCCCTACTACAATGGTTATTATATTTTGTTGTATCGATTTTATTTGGAGGGCAGCAAGTAGACAAAATATATGAAATCTCACCTCTACTAAAGTTTCCTCAACGACCCATGTGAATAGGGGAAGCTATGATCCAGACTTCCTGCCATGAAAAGGGGGTTTCTCTCTCAAAATCCACCCATCTCTCCTCAGGTCCCCCGAACGCAAGCCCTTCGAATTCAAAGACAGCCCATTGCCAAATCGCTAGAGAGCGAGTGGACCCACTGCCCCGTATACAAGCATATATCTCCGCAGGGGAGAAGGGCATGCAGGGAGAAACTTTAGGCCCTACTTGTACAAGTACAAGTGCATTACACGGTTTCTGTTAGTGACATCCTTCTCCCCTTCCACTACCCCAATGACTGCGGAACGACAAAGAGCGAGGCGCGAGGCGCTGCAGCACTACGGGAAACCGCTCATATCCACACTACGGACATATGAACCCCGGGCTTGGAAACACGGCTAAAACAATTCCCATAATTGTGATATATCCCCAGCCCCTTCTCCTCCTCGTACCTGGCTCAAACAGGTTCCTCGGTTCGGAAGAATTAATCACCCTCTCTATCCCATCCACCAAGGGGAGAGGGGGGCAGCGATTCCTGGACGGTTGGCTAGTGCTCGAGTAATGGAGGTTCGGGGTTGAAAACCGTTGATGAAAGTGCTTTTGCAGTTGAAGGACCTTGGTGTGCGTAACTTATTTTTCGCAACCAAATCTGGCAGACCCGCTCGCAACTTGGCACCCAAAAAACTCTTTTTCGACACTGGGTCCGAACGCCTCTCGCGGAAATGTTGATGATTGTTCAATACGGTTGAATATACCTGGCGAGGAGAACTGGGGGTGGTTGATTTGTACGATAGTCATACCGCTTGGCAATTCGTAAGAATTCCGGAGCCCTGGCTCGATTAGGGCTCGTTAAGTCGTCCAGATACCCTAGACCTGCCCAAATAGGGCAGGGGCCCTCCATGACACAAGTACTCGTACTATGATAGTACCCGCAACCGTTGAGGCGTGTATGATGGCTTGACTTGAGTTTGTGTAACAGATTACTCGTAGTCTACCTGAGCAAAAAACCAAGCAACGAGCGAATAAATGAGATGACGTATGGATAATTAGAATAAGAATGAAGTGGCACCAGTATGAGAATTTCCATCACATCGAATGCCAGAGAGCAGCCGCTCCCGAGGTCCACAGGCAGCGGAAATGCGTATATACCATACTAGCGGCATTCTGTGTATTCCTGAGAATTTCAGGAAACTAATTAAATTATGATAACACAACAAATTGGTACTTCGGGTGTTCAGCCTTCCCCATTTCCCATTCAGCGTCTAAGATCCTCCGGGGCCATGAATAAGATGGCTGCTAGCCCTCTTTTTTCAGCTTTCCCTAGGTATTATGCAGGTGGCGCTAGAGGGTGAGGTAGCTGAGGTGCGCCATATACTCGTACCGGTACTGCACAGTCCAGCACGTCAAACTCTCCGCATACCCGTACCTGTAGTGCATAGTTACTCGAGCGCAATCAGCTAGCAATAACCTTGGTATATTGTGGCCCAAAAATCCGTCTAACAGGAGCCGCAGTGGAGCGTGGAGCAAGGATCCAATGAAAGAAAGCGTTTGTCATACCAGATGCAGTAACCCGGGAATGAAATATAATAGGCCTGGGTGTTGTGGACTAACCATGATGCATAGTCGTACGATCGAAGTTATTGAAATTCATTCCCGGGTTGAAATACCTACCTTATCGCCCCTCCCCCGTTCTCGCCTTCGCAAGACAACGAAATTAGAGGTGTGCATACAAAAACATGTCAGATATCACAGGATGTCATCAGCATCCCAAGTCACAAGGGGAAGGGAAAAAAGTATAGTAGCCTCAAAACCATCCAAGGGATGGAAAGGCATCTCTTCAGTACTCTGTCCTATACCGTCTTGATACCAGTAGAATAGATACGATCCCCGGAATTCACACATAAAGCGATCCATCACCACTGCTCTTTCAAACCTCGACTTTCTACAAGAGGAAGAAGAAACGGGATCCTTAATGTTCCCTCAGATATGTCCGTCGTGTCCTTACCTTACGTCAACCTAGTTCCTCAACATCCCAATCCCTGATTTCAATATATTCTGGTTGTAATATTTTCTATCTCCACTCTCTACATTTTATTTGATGCTGACGAGGAGAGTGAGGATGATGCTGGCTGCGGCACCCGTACCCAGGATCTTGCCCTAGCGGTAAAGTTGAAACGAACTTCGGGCCACAATAAAATCATATGATGGACCAAGGGCGATGAATACCGGTATTCCATATTAGGCCACGCTCAGCCTACGCTATACTTACGCGAAGCCCGTTACAGCCTAATCTGTACTCGAGTAGTATTCTTCTTGGTGGTGGTACAAGCAGCCTCATACTCGAGTACTGTTCCTTACCCCCGAGACACGAAAACACCGAAGTACCATGGGTCGAAATGATGCCAAACCTAGGCACAGCGTCATCGGTAGTCTACTCGTATAGAGCATCAAGAGAACGAAAGCGATTTAGGAGATGCGGCGGTGCACGCGGGCCCCGCCCCTTTCCCACTGGCTCCCAGTGGGGTCACCATCTGAAGAGTCAAATTGACTCTGATCTTGTTGGACACCATCGTAGATTTGTCAGTACTCGAGTACAGTAATTAGTCTACGGTAGACCACACCCGCCGGAGCCAGCCAGTAGATTCAAGTAAAAACACAGGCTAAGAGGTGCGCTGCCTAAATCTTGGCGGAAAACCTAATAGTGAAAAGTTCTGGAAGCTCAAGCATCAGCGTTCATCCTCCAATGGATCTATTATCCATTGCCTCACACAACACCTCAGATCCCCCCCACAACAAAAGGTCAAAACGCCATCAGAATGACCCCACTCCTTTTCAGAGAATTCGAATACGGTACAGAACCGTAAGGATATCTATCTCTACTCGAGTATTTGTTTATTCCTCCCCAATCACCCTAGCCCCTTATCCAAGTTATGATACCGGTACACTACAAAGATCTCTATCGCACACATTCCCCCAGTTCATCTATTGCATCAACAACCCACACCCGGAACAGCAGCCCGACCACGGGCGAAGCGCACCATACGATACGGTGCGATGCGAGAGAAGGAGAGACCCGCAACTGCCCCATGCCACTTGTGGAACAACTTATTATCATTCAAAATCCGCGTTTCTCGTCCCACAGAAGGCAGGTCAACACGAGCGAAAGAGAACAGTAATAAATACCAACCCTGGGAGAATCGATCTCTATCCAGACCTAGAACCAAAAACCGTTAAGGGCCTGTTCGGATTACTTGTTCCGACTGATCCATAGGTTGGGATTCTATGGAGTTTCCGTGGCTACAGATTTCCAATCCAGTAATTTTTATTTACACAGCGCGCCTGTTGGGGCGAGACTTTTTGGTTGCAACGGCCTAAAACAGATCCTGTTGCACGCAACCGAAGGCTTGAAAAGTGGGCAATTGGAGTCGGGGGTGATGCGGAGCTCCGCCCTCCAGATCCATGCGAATATTACAAGTACCTCCCTGAGCGATTCTCCACTTTTTTTCACATCACAGACCATAGCGATTCTTTCAGGGATAAAAAAAAAAATCTGTGAACTGTACCTATTTCCCAAAATCCACGGATTAGAGGTCACCGGGGTTTACGTTGCAACGGGCTCAATCCATGGGAAAACAATCTCCATAAACCAAACAGGCTCCAATCGGCGAGAAAGCCCTATCGTATCTATTTACAGGTTTAGTCTGTCGGCCATCTCGGCCTCCGATAGCGAATTCCGTTGGCGAGCAATCGGGATATTGCCCGTCGACGAACTATGGCTACGGCTTTCTAGGTTATGATCACCTTGCCCCTGCTATAGAAGATAATATTAGTCGCCCTTACACCAATGGCATCATTTGGTGGAAACGGACCGGAATTTGTCTCTGTTCCCGCTTGTTCCAATTTTGCTTCCCCGGATACTCGAGTACTGTACGGTACAAGTTCAACACTCCGTGGGCTTTGGGATTTGCCCCATGGGGTTCGGATCTTAGCTTTGTTTCGCTGAGTTAAGGGCAGAGCATCAGCATCGTATGTGGTTTCACACAGGTGGTTCAGGATCGGGATGCGTGCTGCGGTTCTGGCAGGTTCATTGAGGTATGGTATGAGACTTCCTGGTACTGATCACTGGTTTACTACCAATGTTGCATATTTTGCAGCCAAAAGCTAATTCTTTAGCCAGCTTGAAAATCGAATCCTCTTTTTGCTGCAAGGGGAAGCCTTTTTATAATAAAATTTTTGCCACCAGTGGCCAGTGGCTGATACTTTTTTGTGCAAGTCAGAAGCGCATTTGTACCACCACCGTCTGAACCGCTAAACCATGCTGGGTACTGCCCCCAAAACCGGTACTAGTACCGTGGTTCATTTTTCCAGGTCACAGTTCATGAACTGCGAACCGGCTCCTTGAACCGTGGTGAGCCCCCGGTGTGAAACCCCCTAATGTCTGTCGATCTGTCCCTTCGGTACGCAGTTCTTCTCTTCTTTGCGCTAGCCCGGACATTAAAGGCGCAAGAGAAAACAACAGTACTCTGTAGGCCACGTCCTCTAGAGTTGTGTCCATTAAAGAATTATATAACTGCACAGCAATCGCGCAACACTGCAAGCCTCACTCCACATCCATGAACACAGTCCCACCACACTCCTCCGGAGGGAAAAGGGAATGCAGGAAGGAGATCGATGTCCGGCATAAGCATGAAGACAAGAGGCAAAAGAGAATACCAAAGAATACTCAGACCTACAGTAATAACTATATTTAGCAGGAAAACCGCAAGTACTAAGGAGTGGGAAAAAATTGTGGAATTACACTCCTTCCGGCCACCGGTATGGAGAGGTCTTGGCATTAACCAAAATATGGTTGCCAATTGAATGAATTACTCTGGTGAGCCTATGATAGTTGGTTTTAAAAAATTAAATAGGAATTTGGGATAAGATAAACAAAGACAATAACAATATAATAACAATTACCTGTGGTAACGATCAGTGATGTTGATCTAGCCAAAGCCAGGGGTCGGAATGAGGGATAAGGCTTGTATCTTCTTTAATAGTAGTAGTAGGCTCATAGGTGATATGCTTGTGTGTAATAGAATGAATTTCCTCTATCTTTCCTTAAGCCACCCATCTTAGAGCCCTAGGCCCAGCCATGAGGGGGTGGATAGGTTCCTTAGAATACTACTTGAAGAGCTAACTACTCAGGGCCCTCAACCCACCTTATAAAGGCATCACTTCGAGCCCAAACCTCTATATGACTCATACCTCCATATTACCATACCCTACGACTCACTATTATGAGTCATGTGAGATCTATTAGCTGTAACAATCCTGCTCCATATGTTAGTTCTTTAACAGGTAACAACTTTACCTCTTTAATATCTCAATAGCTCTGAGACTCTTCATCTTCGTTACCACTTCTGATAGTGCCTATCAATATCTTGTTAGTCTCATTATATTCTAATAAGTTAGAACTCTTTCTCACATTGAGTCGCAAGAGACATTTTGTCTGGATAAGAGTATAGATTCAACTTGTAGTATAGGAAAGAACTTAAGTGGTTTTGTGAGGAGTCTGTACAGGAGTTCTTTTTTTTCTTTGTTTTGTATTTTTTATCATTATATTATTTGTTATTAAGGTACAAGAAAACTACATGTATCACTAGCTATGGCATAAATGAAACCATATTCTCCTCAGACCAAGAGAAAACCCATACCCTTAAGACCCTCCGGTATGGGCCCAACTGCATATCCTCTAAAGACGATCAATACAGATGCCTGGTATACAGATCTGGCACAAACCAGATTGTGACAAAGCAGATTGATAAGGAGAAACAAAGGATTTTCACATGACTCACGCTTGCGAGTCATAAGGGTCTATTGTTATGTGATGACTCACAGTTGTGAGTCATATGATATTATGACTTTCACACATGACTCATACTTATGAGTCATGAGTTTTGCACAAGTGACACATTCAAGCGCACATGACTTATTATGAGATTTATGATTAGTTTAGGTATATTACGCAGTTGACTCATACAAGTCAAGAGAGGATTTCACACGGACTGCACGAATTGTAAGTCATGGGAGATGGTGATACAAGAGGCAGGAGTCACACAGGTTTAGGGTTAGGTGAGGTGTCTGGATAAATAGCGAGGTCCAGGGACCTTTGGTACCACACGCTCCGTCGCTCCTATTTTCCTCCCACATAGTTTGGCAACACCATGTCAACTATCGTGGGCCCTCGCACTCCCCTCTGCCCCCTCGATGGTTCCTGCCTAGGGGCACGGTTAACTCTACCATCCTCTCCCGCTTTGGCCTCGCTTGTCTCTTGTCTGCTTGATGGGGGAGTTATCTGGGCTCGCCCAGCAGTCCTGTCTTGCTAATAGGGGCTCGCTTAGCTTTGGCACGGTCGGCTTCCTCTCTTCGCTTCCGGACAGCGCTGGCAGTGGTGGACGTCCTTCTCCCCACTTGCACGATCCCCGTTGGGGAACGCCTCGGCTAGTAACTTCGCGGTCTGTCTCGCGGTGAGATTTGACCATGCCCTCCTAGTCGCTCAGTTCAAGTTTGGTTGCCTTCCTCACCTCGCCCTTCCATCTCCCTGCTGCCGGTGGGATCCCTTCCACTAAGTGACGTTATCTCTCGGAGAACAAGGGACTACATGAGAGACGCAGTAATACGTCGGTTCGGTCTACAGTCGGGTTTGCACTGGGGCCTTTGGCCCTACCTCCACTTTCCACTTCGGTCGTGTCGGCTCGCACCCTACTGCCTTCCCTCCTTGGCTGGTACCCTGCTACCTCCTTTCTTTGGCTGGCATCCAACTGCTGGGCGGCACCCCTTCTGCCAAACATCCATTCCTTGGGCCTGGCACCGTGGCCTCTGTTCTCGATTGGCAGGTCATGGTATTGCACTATTCTGTGGCTTAGCTGGTTGGGGGCACTCGGCCTTAGGACTCGTCGCCGGCCACCCACTTTTGGGGTGGTTCTTTAAATAACGGCAAATCTGGTAGTACGGTGGGCAGTGGTTGTTTTCCTTTGTGGCCCCTACGGGTCTAGTAGTTTACGGGATGGAGTTTTTCCTTATGCTTTCCTGCCTAGCTTGTTTGGTTTCCTTCCTGTTGGCTACATGTAGTTAATGGGTGGGGTTTTCTTTCAGGCGAGGAATCTTCTTGGGCATTTGGTTGGCTTCTAGGCAAGACCCTTTCACATTCAACTCGTGAGGCCTGCGGGCTGGGTACCTGAGTTGATTGCCCTTGGAGTGTGTGCAGTTGGGCCCATGCCAGAGAGTCTTGGGGGTACGGGTTTTCTCTTGGTCCGGGGTGGAGGGGTTTTCTTAACACTATAGCTAGCACTGCATGCGATGTTCTTGTACCTTAAACAAGTAACTAAATAATTATAAAAATAAAAAAAAGACCTCTAGTACAGTTCAGGTTGGCACCCCACAAGGCTCACCTATCTTACTGCTCCTACTTGTCATCTATATTACATCCCTCTATTTCGTAGTACTATGTGAATTGATCTTATCATATGTAGATGACTTCGCAGTAACTGTGGCCCCTAACTCCTACAGAATGAACATCCAATACCTCTAGCATCTAGTTAAGATGTTGACTAAGAGGGGTAGAAGGCTGGGCATCTCATTCTCTGTACCCAAAACAAAACTGCTGAATTGACAGACCCCGCGACAAAGAGACCCCACATCTACTCTCCTTATAGTTATCAATGGCCTGCTCTTTCACCACTCTGGGGTAGTCCAATGGCTCATCTTTTTGCTTTAATCCTACCTCTAGCTCTGTCTATTCGACAACTAATACCTACTTCTAGAAGTACCTGGTACTAGCCAATAGTGTATTCTCTATACTTGAAAGACTATCAGGCCCCAGCAAAGGGCTAGGTACCTTTCTTTGCTAAAGACTGGTCTCCTCCCTCCTGGCCCCATCCTCCTCTATGATGGAGATCTCTTCTCACCCTCCACCTCTATGACAGACCAGCTAGCTGTCGTCTGAAGTCAGGTCTAGAGGTGCATTACAAACTACTTCATGGAGACACCCACCAGCATCCTCCCTTGCGAATTGACCCTCCCAGTGATCCAATACCTTATCAAGTACAGCTAATGCCTTACAGCATTTTGGATAATCTGCCTCCAACCAGGAAGGAATATAGTCCTGTCATATCCTCACTCTTACTTCCCTTCTATCTCAGGATATCACTCCAGGGAGAATCATGTCCTCCTAACAATCAGCCTGACACCAGGATACTGGCCTCTAAACTCGATAATGCCAGAACTAAC